ACATTCTTGTTTGTATTATTTTTAGCACTGCCATCCCTACATCCTTACATTTACAAATATATATATTACTTATTTTATAACGTTTTTTCCCCTGACTGAAAGTTTATTTGTTTGTTTTGAATTTCGCGCAAAACTACACGCGGGCTATTTGCGGTAGTCATCATCACCCACCATTAACTTTTTGACTACTCTTTTACCAACGAATAGTGGGATTGATTATCACATTATAACGCCCAACGGCTGAAAGGGCGAGCATGTTTGGTGGGAGGGGGATTCGAACCCGCGACCCTCAGATTCCGAGTCGAGTGCCCTAACCACCTGGACTGAAAGTTAGTGTACTCTATGAATGTGTGTAATAACATTTATTATTATGTATATTAATTTTTTTTTGAAGATTGTGAGTCGAACGCTCTAACCACCTGGCCATGACAGGCCCAGTTTAATAGAACAAATATTTGAATGATGATCCATGAATTTAAAATTATTTCTTCTGAAAGAAACTATGTGGTTCAGGTGGAAGTAAAGTTTAGTCTAATCCATGATACGTATAGTTAGAGCTAGCTGATCTTCAGTGTTTTAACTTCAAGATAAAACATCAAATCAAGAAGCCCACATAATCGCGTGAGACGTGTTGAGACGATAAGAACCCCGCTTAATCACATGCCAACTGTTGAAATAGTAGGAAAAAAACTCATATAATCAATATGTAGGAAAGGGATTTACGTGAGTGCTGCTAAAGCAAATAAAAAACAAAAGGCCCAGATAATCAGCGAATTTAATCTACGTATAAAGAAATCCAGATAATCACCTGAGAAATGTGTGAACATTTAATAAAGAGGCCCTGATAATTACGCGACAGCTATTGAAACGAAAATAACCCCTTCAGATAATTACCTGAGAATTGTTTAAAATATGGTAGATAAGGAACCTCTTGCTAATAACGTTAGGACTATTGAAACAATAAAGAACTCCAGTTAATCACTTGAAAACTATTTAGATAGTTAAAGAACCCCAGATAATCATACGAGAGCTATCAAAACAACAGATAAGGAACTCCAGAGAGTCACTTTAGAACTATTTAAATAGTTTAAAACCCTAAATAATCATATCCTAGAGGAGATTATTGGAGGTGGAGGACCTATACCAACGCTGGTGCCAAAGTCCTGAACAGTATTACTAGAATAACCTAGAGGAGATTATTGGATGGGGAGGACCTGTACCGACGCTGGTGCCAAAGTTCTGGACAGTATTACTAAAATAACCTAGAGGAGATTATTGGAGGTGGAGGACCTGTACCAACGCTGGTGCCAAAGTCCTGAATAGTATTACTAGAATATCCTAGAGGAGATTATTGGAGGTGGAGGACCTATACCAACGCTGGTACCAAAGTCCTGAACAGTATTACTAGAATAACCTAGAGGAGATTATTGGAGGGGGAGGACCTGCACCAAAGCTGGTGCCAAAGTCCTGGAAAGTATTACTAGAATAACCTAGAGGAGACTATTGGAGGTGGAGGACCTGTACCAACGCTGGTGCCAAAGTTCTGGACAGTATTACTAAAATCTCATAGAGGAGATTATTGGAGAGAGGAGAACCTGTAGTAACGCTGGTTCTAAAGTTCTGGACAGTATTACTAGAATAACGTAGAGGAGATTATTGGATTATTGGCTCATACAATAGCTCTGAGTTTGTTTGTTTTGTTGTCGTTTTCATGTACAGACTTTTAACTCATAGCTCCGTCATTTCTTGATCGATTTGAGATCTAATTACAGTTTTGGACTCAGGAGGTCAAACCCTTTCGATTGATATATTTGATCACGCCCAAGATCTGATAGATTAATTTACTTTAATCCTGCCTAAAAGAATTTTCATTTTGAGGGTAGGTTAATAGAGATCCTGATGAGTAATGAAATCGAATCGGGTATACGCGCGCCCCACGCTTGGTATTGCTGGGGCACAAAAATATAGCCAATAAAAAGAAAAAGGTCTCATAGATTAATGTAGTCTAATCTTGCCTAAAAAAATTTCAAATACCGCGGCTATTGAAATTTTCTCTTGTTTTTAAGGAAATTACACGCGGGTTAAGTGTTGTTTGTATGAAATACTTTTTAAATAAAAACTAAAGTTGAAATTGAAACCGGTCGTCACGTGATGACAACGACATTTTGCGATCGTTTGACTAAGCAAAAAACAGGTAAGGTGATTTTGAATTGAAAAACCGACGTGCATTCCGGACTCCTCGGACAAACGTCTTTCTAACGATATACAATTTGTGGCGTTTGATCGAGAAATTTGCGAAAAAAGGTCCGGACAGACAAACACAAGCGTATTATTTATGTAGATACAAAGTTGTATTGTTTCTGTTCCTCAAAAATGTCTTTACTTCTCCACTTTAAAATTTATAGCACAATGGCTTTACCTTTTGTATGCGGAACTATGTAATGTACATATATATAGAGAGGAATATTGGGTTTAGTCTTCAATGAAAGAAGTTTTAAGACAAAGTGATTTTTTTTTTAATTTCGCTCAAAGCTTCACGAGGGCTATCTGCGCTAGCCGTCCCTAATTTAGCAGTGAAAGACTAGAGGGAAGGTAGCTAGTCGTCATCACCCACCGCCAACTCTTGAGTCACTCTTTTACTAACGACTAGTGGGATTGACCGTCACGTTATAACGCCCCCACGACTGAAAGGGCGAGCATGTTTGGTGGGACGTGAATTCGAACCCGCAACCCTCGGATTGCAACTCTAACCATGCCAGGATCAAAATGAATTTAAACGATCCTTTAAACCTTGTTCTATCAGAGTTTGATGAATGGGGCCATCGCGCTAATATATTAAAAAAGCTGGATATTATGCAAAATCAATTCACTAATGACGTCAGTATATCAGTATTATTAGATAACGTTGTGTTCGAGCATGCTGTAAACGATGCTATAAAGAACCCCATGTTGTGTGTTTACTAAGCTGATTCATTAATGTGGTACGTAAAAGAGGGCGCTCTGAAAATTATCCGGTGTTACTGTTAGAAGAAACATGACGAAAAATTGAAGGAATCAGTTTTACGTAGCCGTTTCTACTTGTATAAAAAAAGAGTTCGACACCGGATGTTCTATTCTCATCGTTTACATCAATACTACATTAACACCATAAATGGGGTTTTCACACCATATGTGTTAAGTTTACTTGTAAATCATCTGAGAATGCACAAGTGGGGATTCAGAAGCTTTACGTATCTTAAATGTGAGAAACATATGCGTGGAACTGACGAATCTCTTCCTTGTAAACACATATACTAAAAACAACATTTGCTCACACACACACACGCTACTTATATGCTTGTTTCGCTTACGCCCGGGCGTACTGTTAAACAATCGATTTTAATATTTATATGGATTTGTAGTTCATCTATCTGGTTGAAATTATTGTATGTTTATATAGACTTATGGTTTGTTTATCTGTCACCATATGGTTGACGATGAATATAAATGAATATAATATTTCCTGTTTCCTAGTGATAACTACTGTACGTTTGTAGAGATTGCGGGTTTGTTTACCTGTCAACTGTGGTTGAAGATAATTTGGATACACTTTATTCAACAATACATAATGCATGTGTATTCAGCAATGATTACAGTGAAACCTGATAAGG